TCAACCATATTTTGATATTTCTAATATTAGGAATGTATAAATATTGGTTGATATATTCAATGTTTGAAAATCATTATAAATTCCCTCACCTTTAAACCTTCTTGTAGGTTAAAGTTATATATGCCTATAAATCCTATTTCCTAAGAGTACTACATGAGTACGACGATTTGTCCTCTGCCATGTGGTTTAACTCTGATAAAATGGGATCTAAAGGCATGCAATAAAGATGAATAATTTAGTCAATCACATATAAGCTTTTGTTTATCATCTGAAGTTTTCTCTTATGGTAATATTTTAAAATCAAATATTATCTAAGTTTACTCTTGGCTTTATTACTCCATTTGAGAAAACTAATGAGCAATTCTTATTAAGATTGATCATCTTAAATTCCCCTTTCAGTCAAAGACTTGGGATAATTCAAGGTTATTTATTAAGGCTAACCCATGATATGATAAACATTTCTTTGTCATGTGGCTTTTCCTTAAAATTAATTGACACACCTTGAATTGATACCGAGTCAGGTGATTTTATAACATCTTTAATAGTTTTCTTCTTCAATTGTGATAAAATTAAATTATCATATTATGGTTTATCCATTATGATATCAATATGTATCTTCTTTTGAATTAGAATTTATTTCAAATTGAAATTGGAGGAAGTGGAAATTTTAATCATCTTCTTATCATTATACATCTCATAGGCATATTTTGAATTGATGAATTTATTTCATAATTATCTCATTGAAGTTGTTTATTCATACTATAGGATTGGGTCTAATTTATAAATCCATATTTCTTGTATAAGAGGGTTATTTTTTCACTCTTATACTTGGAAGATGATTTTACAATTGAAATAATTATTTTAAGAATTAAATAAAGGAAGCCTACTAAAAAAAAGGTGAAGAAGAAAAAGAAAAGAAAAGAAAAAAGAGACACATTCATTAAATGTGTAGCAAAAAAAATAAATAAATAAAAAAGTGGCTTCCCTTTCTAAATCTTGAATATCATAGGACCTATTCATCCTTTAGTATTTTTAACACTTGACTTTGAGAATTCAAAATTTTGGTTCATCATCAAGCATTGATGTTCTATTAGATGTAATATATATATATCATATAAATGATTTGGAAATGTTGAATTTCTACGTCCAATTTGATTCTCTTTTGTTATAAATCTTAATTCAAAAAGAAGAAAAATATAAAGAAGAAAACCCCAGTTTTGCTTGTAGGGAGCTTTGATCTGGGTTAACAAAATCTAAATCTTGAGACCTCTCTAGTTAGCAACTTGAGTAGGTCAGTTTATATATTCAAATCATTTTTAAGAAAAAAATATATAAATTATCAATCTAAATGAAATTATAATGGTGTTGGTTATGCATTATTTGGGTTTCAAATATATAACCTAATTGAGATGCATAAACAAATCATGATTAAAAAAAAAATCTTTAACTCTCTTTTGGAAATCTTCCAATTTGAATGAGATTATAGACAGGATCCTGATATTGGATAATCTATAGTGATATTTATGGATATAAAAATCACTTTCTTTAGATTCAAAATTTTGAAACTAAACTAAGGGATATCCCTTAGTTGGTTCTGAGATGATTGTCTAATGTTCTCATTCACTATTGAATAACTATAACTTCCAAATTTAAATCTATTATTGACTGAAATAGAATGTTAGAACATGAGGGGTTCTATACTCAGTGATGTCGATGATACTTTTGTTTAAATCTTTGTCAAAATTCAAGACAAAATCAAGCTACAATTTGATTAAGTCCATAATTGACTAATCTTGGATGTTAGAATTGGAGGGATTCTATTCCTGATAAAGTCTATGGTAAAAAAGATATAAAATTCAGTTCACGGTATATCTTTATCAAAAATTAGATTTAGATATTAGAACCTAAACAACTCTATCCCCATTAAAGAATCTTTCTATAGCATTGAAATTTAAAATCTTTGAAACTACACTTTTCTTTAAAGAAAATTGTTAAGTTTTGGATATTTTGATTAAACTCATGTTGGTCATATTCAAACTATTTAATTTAGAGGGAGTCAACCCATCCTTCGTTGAGTTTTTGAATCTTTTCCAATGTCATTTTGATTGGGTGAAGATGATAAAAACTTAAGCGATCACAGTCAAATATTATAAGAAAATTATCAAATAAAAAATAAAGCATTCACTTTTTTATGAAAATCAAACTTTTCTCAATCATTGTGAGTATTTGGTATTCCTTAGTGTTTTCACTATAAAGGATGCTCAAATATACTCATTGTTCTATAACAACTCATGCAAAAGTTAAAATTTTCTAAGGAAAATTTTATCATGTTGCATTTAGTTCTCTTAGAACATGTAAATGAAGACTTTAGAAAATTCAAATTATTTTCTTTGAGTTAATCGAAACAAATTCAATCATAGAATCAATCATTAAACAAAATCTTGCATTTCTCCTTTGGTGGTCGATATGCTTTGTTAAGTCTTTACTTATCAAACATGATCAAACTACTCCCCTTTTGTTTTTCTCATATATGTTGATCCAATATAAAAACATAATCCCTAGTGGATTATTTGTAAGTTATAAAGATCATTTATAATGAAGGATAAAACAAAATTTTAATCAAAATATTTTCAAGTCTATCAATCGTCAAAATGTTTTTTCTTTCCCTTCTAGAAAATGACATATACAAATGTTTTGATCTATAGTAGAATATTTATAATTTGTCAATGTCATTTGCACTAAAGGGAAATAATCCAAAACTTTAAGGAAATCAATTATATTTCTAAATTCAATCTTAAATCAGTCTTTAGGTCTAAGTCCGCTTTTACGGCATTCTATTGACTTCTGGCTTAAGTCCGCTTTTACGGCAGCCATCCAGTTTAAATCCGTCTTTAGGTCTAAGTCCGCTTTTACGGCATCCTATTGACTTTCTGGTTTAAGTTCGCTTTTACGATAGCCATCCTGATTAAATCCATATTTAGGTCTAAGTCCGCTTTTACGACATCCTATTGACTTTCTAGCTTAAGTCCACTTTTACGGCAGCCATCCTGATTAAATCCGTCTTTAGGTCTAAGTCCGCTTTTACGGCATCCTATTGACTTTCTGGTCTAAGTCCACTTTTATGACATCCTATTGACTTTCTGGTCTAAGCCGCTTTTACGGCATCCTATTGACTTTCTAGCTTAAGTCCACTCTTACGGAAGCCATTCCAGTTTAAATTTGTCTTTAGGTCTAAGTCCGCTTTTACGGCATCCTATTGACTTTCTGGCTTAAGTTCTCTCTTACGGCAGCCAAACCTGATTAATTCTGTCTTTAGGTCTAAGTCCGCTTTTATGACATCCTATTAACTTTCTAGCTTAAGTCCGCTCTTACGACAGCCAATCCAGTTTAAATCTGTCTTTAGGTCTAAGTCCACTTTTACGGCATCCTATTGACTTCTGGCTTAAGTCCACTTTTACAGCAGCCATCCAGTTTAAATCCGTCTTTAGGTTTGAGTCCGCTTTTACGACATCCTATTGACATCTTTGAAGTTAGGAATAAGCATCCTTAGTGGCATCCTAATCTTCATCCTGAGGAAAAGTATAAGCATCCCTAGTGGTATCCTAATCTTCATCCCGAGGAAAAGTATAAGCATCCCTAGTGGCATCTTCTTTTTATTAAATTTTAAATCTTAAATCGATCCTCTATGATTAGGCATGAGTCCCCACACTTAGGCTTCCTTTTCATATGATCATATGATCCTCTAAGGTTAGGTGTGAGTCCCCACACTTAGGCATCCTTTCCTTACGATCATTCGCTAGAGTTGGAGAACACCCCTCATGGCACCATCCTAGTGAAAATCTTAAATTTTAAGTATATCCTCTATGATTAGGTGTGAGTCCCCACACTTAGGCTTCCTTTTCATATGATCATCTGATCCTCTAAGGTTAGGTGTGAGTCCCCACACTTAGGCATCCTTTCCTTACAATCATCCGCTGGAGTTTGAGAACACCCCTCGTGGCACCATCCAATTAAAATTTAAAATTTAAACCTTCTGAGATTAGATATAATCTATTCCATAGGTTGCTCTCTTTTCTTAGAAGACGCCCTCTAGTTTGTTGAGTTAGGTGTAAGTATCCACTTGGTGGCATCCTTTCTCTTGGACTAGAAAGAAGTCTCTAGTCTTATCAAAATCATTTCAAATCAAAATTACATCAACTCTTACATTCCTGTCAAACTACATTCAAATCACTACATTTAACTTTTTCATATATTCACTTTACCAAATGATACAAATATCTTTAGTTATTAAATCACTAAAGAATCAATGCCGACATCAACCTCAAAATCACTTCATTTCTTATGCTCAAATGCTAAATTTCAATTTTGGATCTAGTTGATTGTTTCGGTCAACGCCAATACGCACGATAAACTTTGGTAAGTTTATCATGCTTAGTGGGGGTCCATTTGTTGACCTCATTATTCGAGGTCAATTTCCCCAGATTCAATTCTAGCACCTAGGTTTTCGTAGCCTAGAATAGACGTCACACGCAGGATTTCTCTTAGGTGGATACCAACTGACATAGCATCAACTCGAACTTATCATTCGACCTAAATCAAAATCAATTCATTCTAAATTTTATTAAATTTCCAACTGAACTCAAATCAACTCAACTTCCAAATTCATCTTAACTTGACACTATAAATAAAATTGACTCGATGATATAACAACACAAGCTTCTATTAATCTAAATTGATTTGTTTCGACTTGATTGAATTTAAAGTATTATAAATGAGATAAAAATAAGTAATTCAAAATTATTTCTATTTTAAAATTAACTTAAGATATGTATTTTAAATTATCAATTATTTTCAAAATTAATCTCTAAATCAATTTGAACTATAAATTAACTCTTGAACTCTTCTTTAAGCTGTGATTAATCCTAACCACTAATTTGAATTGAGAGAGGGTTTTAGATTTAATTAGATCAGCCTAATCACTCAAACCCACTACCCCTTTTATTCGGATGAACCGCCTGCTCTCCCTCTGAGCAGTTTCAAAAAAAAAAAGCCCTCTCCCTATGCAATTCAAGAGCCCCGCCTCTCCGTCTCTTCTCGGCTTCGTACGACAACGAGAAGGTGAAGATCGCCCTCCCTCTCTCCCGTCGATTTTACCCCTAGGAAGAAAGCCTGACGCCTCTTATTCGCAGGAGGCCTGCTCGCTCTCTCTCTGATTTCCGAAACCCCTCTCTTCTGTTCGCCCCTCTAGCACGTCCCCTATTCATTCACACATACAAAACCGTACTCCTCCTCCCGTGACCTCACACGTACAGCCCGCCTCTCTTAATTCACAAGAAGTCAAGGCAAGAGCACTCGCATCTCTGGCTCTCTGTCTGAATGAACCCCAACCCCATTTCACACAGCCTCTTGCTCTCTCGCACACTCAGTCCTCTCTCAGTTTAGAAGAAGCACAGATGAGAACCCTCTCTCTCCGTCGCTCTCGTGAAACCGAGTTCAAGGAAAACCGATCGAAACCTTAAGGAATCATTCCGTTCTGCCTTTACTGTGCTCAGCATCTTCGACATCGATCACTAGCTCTAGCCGAAGGGAGAGTTCGCCGAGTCTATTCGTCACCTGCCCTAGTTCATTCTGCCCCAAGGAGCCCGATTTGATTTCCCTTGTTCTAATCGTCCACAATCTTCATAATTCTCCGTATATTTTCTACTTCCTCGTCTTCTTTCTTTTCAATTTAGTAAATTTTGTTGATAGAAATGAGTTAGGAGAGGTTATTGCTATCATTTTTGGAAGGAAAAGAAAGTATGCAGAGTTGAAAATAGAGAAGTGTTAATTTGTCTTGCTTTCTCTTATTGCAAAGAGAATGATTTTCTTATGCTTGTTTAACCGGATTTTGCTGGGCACTTCAATGATTCTTGAATGTATAAACTATTAGATAGGAGTGTATGTATATTCCTCATTACCGTTAGATGAAGATTAAATGCATTTCTTATTAAAAAAAAATATGGTTAAAATTTACAGGTTCTCCTTTTCATTTGAGAGGAAAGTGTGAAATGAAAATTTGATAATTTCATTTAGTTATAGTAATTGTAATATATGTTCGGAAATGTTTATTTGATTGAAAATATTTATTAGAGATGAGAAGATGAATTATTTATTATATATCTTTCATTTCTAACATCTAGTTTGTAATCTTATCTTGAGATTAGAAAAGATCGAATGGTTTATTTCCTCTAATAGTTCTTTGAAAAGTTTACCCATAATGGTTTTCTCTGGCTTCTAATGACTATATATCTTTATTATTGCTTTCAGAATATTATTGATAGGAAAGCGTATAAGAGTATAAAAAATGAAAGTGTATAGTTGATTGGTGAAATATGTATCTTTTGAAGGATGAAAATATGTATTTTTGAAAGGTAATATGTGTATATGTTTTTGAAGGGTGACATGTATAAAGCATTTTAAAAAGTAAAATATTTATTTTGTGGGAGGTATGTATAGAAAAGTTTGTAGATTTTGAAAGATTAAGATGTGTGTGTACTTTGAAAGGTGATAATATGATATTTGAAAGGCAAAAGGTGTGTACTTTGAAAGTTGAAAAATGGGAAAGGTTGAAAGAAAGATTGGATTGTGAGATCAAAGTATGAATGAATGTGAAAGTATTTGTGTTGAAGAATAAAGTGTGTGAAAGAGTGAAAATGGAAAGTTAGATTGTTAAGAAGCAAAAGTGTGCGATGATGAAAAAATGTATGTTGGAAAAGAAAGAATTGTATATCTTGAAAGTAAAATTGTATGAACTTTGGAAAAGAAAATAAAAGCAAAGCGTATGAGTGTGATATTTTTTGAAAAATGAGAAGTGTATGTTGAAAATGGAGTTGTGTTTTGGAAAAGTTTATGTTTTGTTGAAAAGTGAAACTTGGTTGTTGGAGGATATATATATATATATATATATATATATATATTTGTTTTAAAAAAGTTATATGTGTGAGAAATAAAAAATGAGTTTTTTGTAGGTAAAAATTAAGTGTGATGGAAATTTTGTGTTTTGGAAATGTAAATTTTTGTATGTGTAAAGTAAGGAGTTGTGTGTATGTTGGAGAGTGTGTTAGCTGAATGTCTATTAGAAAGTGAAGTTTCGAAGAAGAACTAAGCATCTCTTTTTACTCCTTTTTCTCTTTTTACTTTCTTATGCTTTGAAATGAATATGAAATATGTGTTCAAAAGTGAAAGGTTTCAAAAGCCAAGTCAACAGAACCAGCAATCAAGCCCGAAGAAAGGTACGTCTTTATTTTTAGTAAATTTCAATTATTTTATTATTAATTATTAAATGTGCTTTCTAATCCCTATTTTCTCTGTTTTCTTTTCTTTACTTGCATGAACTGTGATGAAACGGTACCGGTCGAGGGAATAAATGTACAAGGGACTAACGTCGTTAGTTGCCTCTATCCAACTGGGTAGAGGTGCTACGGGCGGAACCACCGGGTCGTAGCCCCCGGTGACTGTGAGTATTCTAAACTTAGAAAACCTTTAGGGGCCCCCTTGATGTGGTTTGTGCGAACCCTTCTTTTAGGTCACTGTAGTAACTTCAATTTTATTAGGTTTACTTTTATTTACTCTTAGATCCTTAAATCCTTTTATACGCACGCAAAGTCCTAAGGGTTAGTAATAACAAAACTTTTTTATCCCATATAACACTAGCGACATTTAAGGATAATAATTAAGGACCGAGTCTTAGAAAACCTAGACTTAGGATGCATGCACACTACAGGATAGAAACATATAACATAGAAAATTTAATGACATCTCACCTTAAGATTAATGAATATTTTCAAATTAAAATTTAATCAATTAGAAAACTTTAGCCAATAATTGACCTAGGACATATCAAAATCTCACATCTTACTACACACACTTAGATTTGTTTGCTAGTACAATCGACTCTAATTTTAGGTTAGGATGGTGTTTATTTCCTTACTGCATTGTGACGAGCTTTTTCTCGGCTTTCATTGCATGTTGGATGTAAAACTGTTGATGTGTTTGTTTATTTACTTTTACTGCACTCTGTGATGTGATTTGTTTGACGATTAGATTACACGTAGGTTAGGAGCTATCTGGTTATTAACAAGATTTTCTGCAGGTGGCCACACTCATGTAGGGCAGTAAAAAGGGGGCTAATTAATTAATAATCATATAAATGCTATAGGTGCTCTAGTTGCTTAGTCCCCAAATAAAAAGTATGTGACCAAGTGTGGCTGAGTGATTTAATTTAAATGCATATATATAACTGCTTGGGATGATTTTTGCTTAGGATAACCCTATAGGTGGTCTAGATTTTCTTTTTCTTTCTAAGATGTAAATGCAAATGTAAATGTAATGTATTAAAAGTCAAGATATGTGAAAGTGATTTTGAAAGTGGAATATCACATCCAATTTGGAATTCAAAGAAAAGAGAATATACCTTAAATGATTATTCTTTTTTATTTGGAAAGCCAAATTAGGATGATTTTAGTATCCAAATAGAAAAGAAAATACCCATTTTAGGGATGAGTTTCTTTTTTATTTTGGATATCCAGACCCGACGGATCCAAGGAGTTCGTAGAAGAAGAAAAGATGAAATGAAAATATGGAAGAAAGAAGATGAAGAAATGAAGATATAAGAAAGAATATATTCCATTTCAAAAATCACTTGTGTCATTCTTAGGATTAGAATCCGGGTTTGTTGTCAGTGGTGCCCGGACACTTTACTTTTCTGCAAATTCTGGATGTAATTATATGGACTTTGGACATTAGACATTATATTTGGATTATTAAATTTGATTGTTTATATTGTTTGTGCAGTAGCTTTATTTAGGGCCCTTGCAGGTTTTGTTTTGTTTTAGCCTAGATACGAATCGGAGTGCTTTTTTTTTAAGTAAGAGTACGTATAAAATTCTTCTACTTGTAATCCAAATAAAATTTTTAGGCACACATAGTAATTCTAATGATCTAAGAAGTAAGCTCGGGACCGCCGAGAGTCAGCATAATCATATTAATACTTTCTCTTCCTTATTAGGCACCTCCCCGCCTGCGGGTTCTAGCAGACCACTTGACCTATGAGGGTGCAGTTCTGTCAAGGGAAAGCTGTGCAATCTCTAGGGCAAAACCTATTTTCTAAGCATAATTTTAGAACTGCTTCATATTCATTTTATACATTCGAGTCAATTAGCATGCATTGCATTAAATACAAATTAAAAAGAGTCCAAAATATTAATTGCATTTCTAGACATTTTTCACCCTACATAAGTTGAGGGGTCAATTAGGATCTATCTTAGATGTCGGCCCTCAATTCCTTAAAACTTAAATAATATCCCTACCCATCTTTCATAAGAGACTGGACACATGGTTTTAAAGCATTTAGGTGGTTAGCTGGCTCCCCAATCCAGGCCGGTATAAGTCCAGATTTGCACTTCATTAGTTAGGTTCGCGTCACTATTTTATAGTATCCAAATTAGATTTAGGTTCTGAGGTAAATTCTTTTTAGATCTTAAGTCCTTGTCCTCCGGGAATATAATCCCAAATTTCTAAAAAATGTCAACTTAAACATAAAATTTCTCTCTTAAAATGTAAAGCCCAACATAGGATAGACTGTGGTTGCCTCTGAGCTTCTCAGAATTTGTCTCCTCCTACTTTTCCTCCTTTGACTTGCTAATAAATATTCAACATTGAGTTTTCTCCATGGAAAATCCTTACTTCTGTTCCTTGTCTTCTACTTTGTAATCAAAAGGATATGAAATCACTACTTTAATCGAGAGTTTTCTTAGGAGCATTTCTCCTAGGATGTAATTAACTATAGGAGTTTGCTCCTATAGGGATTTGAGAATCCTAGACTAAAATAAACATTGTTTTATTCATAAAAAATAAGGGAAGAATATTTGGGAATGTAGATGTCTTTAAAAACTTCATTTCTAATCTTAAATATACTTGTAGGATATTATTATTATCTTTTCAGATAATATAATATCCTATTTGTTATATTTAATTTAAGAAATAATGAATTTTATAAAACTCATTCTTATTTTTGGATGTCTTAAAGAATGTTATATTCATCTTTTAAGATGATATAATATTCTTCTTGTTATATCTAAATAAAAGAATGAATAAATTTTTCAAAAAATTTATTTCTATTTTTAAACGCATTCTTAAGAATTCCATGTTTATCTTTCGAAATAATATGTCATTATTTGAACTATGTTTGATTATAGAAATATCAATTTTCAAAACCCTATTTTGATATTGAATCCATTATAGAATATTGTGTCAGCCTATCGAGATTGTACTTTATTCTTAATGCAGTATTCGATTACAAAATAGGAGAAATCAAAATCTGCGTGGTGATACACAATTTTTCCCACCAAGGTTTTTCTGGCGACTCTGCTGGGGATCAATCCTCTCTCCATCTTTAACAGTATTTTATACCCTTTAATCGATAGTATACTTGTGCTTGTCATAGTTTGTAACTACCTTTCTTCCGCCGGTTCTTTTATTCATTTCATTCTTGAATAAATTGGCCGGTATCTAAAAAATTTTAGTGGTCTTATTTTGGACCCCGTTAGAAAATTAACGAGGAGCTCCTTTATAATGGCCTTTTTGTAAAGAAAATCCATGTTTGCTAATTTGAATGTTGCAGATACATTTTTCTTGTAGCTTGATGTTTGACTTAGCACTGGGTCCAAAATCTCTTTGCCCAATCTTTAGTAATATGTACAGTTACTTCTTTTAGTAACTTAATGTATTATTTGGATTGGGTCCAAAAAATTTTAAGTCTTCAAAAATTTAAACTTCTCCGTATCCTAGCCAACATGTTGCAGTTATATATTTTTGTAACTCGATATGTGGCTGGACAAATCTCAAGAAAATTTAAACTTTTAAA